AAGACTGAAATATGCTCGTAATGTAATGGGTGTGGTGCACTGTCAAGAATTTAGAGTGAAACCGATATTTTAGCAAACTAAAGGCAGTCTCTGGAAAATTGGAAAAATCATAAACTCTAAAGCTGTGCATGACAGTAGCCAAGGATATAAAACGACGATGCGAAAAGTATGCTGTCATACTTGCGCAAAACTACTTTAGGTATAATCTTGCTTTCAGTTTTGGCAAGTTCGAGCGTGATTTTTTTTTCTTTTAAGCCCTCTTCTGGTAAAAAGGTCTCTCATGCTAAAGTAACGCTTGACTCATGAAGTCGATTCGGTGATGCAGATATGACACTGTCTAGTCGGTATATATCCGGGGGGACCGTAAACCGTTGGTCGTTTCTGAATTTATCGATATTCTTACAACTAATTTCGGACGCCTTTTACGAGTTTTTGTTTATGGTGCTGGCGCAAAGCTTGAGTCTAAAACTACCCCATGCTGTCAGGTGGGTCGATTTCAGCAAGAGGGAACCAAATTAGGAAGGAGCCAAAAGAGAGGGGGGAACCACCGGAACCAATTTGTTTGGGAATCGAGGAGTGTGTTTGTTTTTTGTTTGTCTTTTGTTGTGATTTGTGGAATTTCTCCTTCGTTTGAATAAAAATGTTCGTGACAAAACTATTAAAATTTGCATTTTGTTAAATTTTGACCGAAAATTGGAGGTAGGAACCAAAATCAGTTAGTTCTCCGGTATTTCAGTATGCTTGGAGGTTTTCAAAATGGATTTAAAATGCCCGTGGAAAGAACACATTTTCTACTTGGTGCACGACAAGAATACTATAAAACATTATAAAATCGCTCGCGACGAGCCATTTGCTGATATCAGAGTTAAAGGCGGGTCACCTGAATTTTCTGTGAATAAAAATGGAAATTCTCCAAACGTCTCATTCGCAGAGTACTTCAAATGCACGATATCAACTCTGAGCGCCTCCAACTTAACGTGATACTACGCGATCTGCCCTGCAGTTAATTTAGTTGCCTATGCCTAGCTAACTCGAGCCAAACATATTTTCCTTTCGCTTGAAAACAATCAGTTTTATTAGGGTGACAGGTATACGGAGGACCCTTGAAACCTAAAAAATTTAAACTGACAGGAAAAAATTCAGAGAATTGGAAAGTTGAATTTAAGGTAAACGAATTCCTCAGTCATCATGATACAGATTTGCCGACTAAATTTTTTGGAGTTCTAAGATGAATAATTAACACAATTCTTGATTCACATTTTTTACCGTTCACCGAGAGGCATATTGTCATAATATCCATGTTTTCCAATTTTTTCTTTTAAGTATGGTGAAGATATTAAAATATCGCCTTTCTAAGAAGAATTTCAAGAAACGAAGAATTTAGTCCATTTTTGTACCGATGTAAGACCAGAGACTACTACAGTTCAGCAATTTTGAGCCCCAAAAATTTCAGATGAAAGCTTTAAGTTCTTCCTCTCAAAACTGCGTCTTCCGACCCAAATTCGAGTAATACTTACAACTGCCTAAAGCACAGTGATTTCATTTCAATGCTTATGAGGAACTTTTTTAAGAGGTTTTAAGTGACTTAGGTAAGACGCGTTTGGAAATTTCAACTTAAGGCGTTCTTTGGTATTCAATTCTACCACCAAATAAGGTAGGCACAATTTACACACCTTTTGTCTGAGTTACTTCATCTGCCAGAGGCTGATTTCGTCGCCTCCCACGCGGGAGAACATAACCACTTTTCAGCGTCGCAAAATCTCTAAGTAAGCAACTGAAAATTGAACTGTTTTTCTTTTGACTAAACACGAAAACCAGCAAAATTACAGATAAAATTTGCATGGTCTCATTCTTGTCAAAATTTAAATCGTTTGAGTCAATTTCAAAATTTCATGATGGAGTTACATTTTTTCCTCTGGGATACGACGACTTACGTTCATATAGTAAACAAATATACCGTATGAACATTCGAATGCTGCCAAATTTCCCGGAAAAAAGATTTATTTGAAAAGAAAGTTATGCATATTATTCTTTGAAATTGTCAGATATTTAAAATAAACTGCTAAAAAATTGCTAAAAAAATTGAAAGAAAAATATGTACCACTTTATTATAATAATGAGTATTTTACCAAAGGAGATTTGGGAACACCTGAAGGTTTATACGGTGTTTTTCCGAGTTACTCGGGCCCACTGTGGCAACGGGGCTGGGAGTCCCTCCCACCACCTCCCCTTCACCCCTCTCCAGAAAACCATTACTTAAATTTGACTTATATCTGGTACTCCGACGGGCCCTGTGGAGAGTAAACATCTTGAGCGCATTTCTGTGTTTTTTCTTTTCAGCTTCCCGGCTCCCCCTCCCCTCTCCATCGAGGTCAGGTTTTCGCAAGAATCAGAACTCTCCCGTCAAATTTACACTGAGATAAGAGTTATTCAGTCAGTTTCGCGAACGTAGCTCTGGTTACTGTCTGCTTTTCTCCCGGGTGCCAGACTGTCAGAGGATGGAAAAAAGTGAAATTCTGATGCATTCCGTAATTTTTTCTCCTCTGGTCTCAGTAATGGATGATAATTCACAATTACACACGATAAGTATCGAATATCAGAGAACATTTTCTTTTACACCAAAATTTCACTGGAATTAAGTTGAGCCAAGTGAACATTTGAAAAAAAGTGTGAAAGAGTTGAAAAGTGGTGTTTCTTTGTATTTGATCAATTAAAATAAACTTTCCACTCGTAAAAAATATACTCGTACTTTCGGGGGTTAAAAAATCGGAAAAAGCCCGTTAGTCAATATTTGCACGGTCCCCAAGTACGACCTAAAAATGAATCTTTAACTAGTGTCAAGTTCGGCAGTTTGCCAATCTTGTTCATTAAACCGGCAAGATATTCTCGTTAGAAAGATCTCTCAACATGTCACTCTTTAGACCATCAGAATAAAACTGTGAGCGAAAAAACTTCAGAGTATCGGTGTTAGAAATCACGATATTTCGTACACATTTTCGTCCCTGTCAATAATCAAAATACCGGATATTAGCTCTCTAACCTGTTGGCGGCTGTGACCGTTTTTCAGAGATCAGACTCGGCTCTTAGCGATCAACTTGGCAACGACGCCCATTCCAAAAACACAAAAGCTGTTAGTGCTGCAGTGTTTTCCGGTCGTTTCACATTAATTAAAAACTGAGAACTGCTCCCGCTTTGCGTTTTCGACTCGCATTAAATATTAATTCGGAGCCTAGAATTCAGGGCTTGAAATCAACGGGATAAGCCCTTGACGGGCCGGTTGAGTAAACCGAGTCGTCATGCTTGTGCGAGAGGTTATTCGTCTTACGCCTTCAGAATGATTCCGAAACGTGATAACTTCTCAATTTACGGGAAGAGTAAAATGCGAGTAAAATGCCGAGTGCGTATTCTTGGGTGGGAATTTTAATGGTGACTTCCAAAGAAATTAAATCATCCAGCGAGCGAAAACATTCTATAGATTTCATAATAGTAATGCTGATGTGCATAGGGAAAACGCCGTATGAACCTTTGGGCGTTGCCAAATTTCCCTCGATAAAACACGAATTTCCTGGTGAACTCATGAATCTTTTCCTTACTATTTTCCAGATAATTTTTTTTCGCAATTTCACCTAAACTTCCTGAAATTTTCAAGGAAAACTATTCATAACTTTTTTCAAAAATGAACATTTTATCAAAGGAAATTTGGCAACTCTTGAATGTTCATACGGAGTTCCTCCTTAGCACGGCAGAATACCAAAGTAGAACGCGTGTCTCGATTGCACCGTTTCAAAATCTTTGCCGTTGTTTAGATTTTAAGCTTTCAGAGAAAAACTGATAGACGTTACTTTCCGCAATTTTTAGGGAATGCTCAATAGGTACACGATGAGGAAAATTTGTAAAATATGTAGAAATGTAATCGACGGTTTATGCGCTTTTCGTTTTTTCCTGAATTTTGGGCAATATCTGGCCAAAAATTTACGGAAACTAGGTATGTGCTCCCTAAATTGTATCGCTTCATCGATTCATAGCCTTACGAAAATAACAAATTTTCAAGTTAAAGAGGTCCCCAACATAATGCCGAGGTTGTGTCTCTAAACGGTTCCGGCACGTTGCACCGTAGTCATCGACATTCAGAGGTTTAGTTTTAGCCGGTTGGCTCCTCATTTTACCATTTTCATGAATTTGGAATAACTAGAGCCAAAACAAGGTTGCCAGATTGTGCCGCGATATTGAAAGGATATTTTACACGGGGTCAGACGAGAAAAAGTACTGATTTTAAAGCACTATCTAGCAACAAAGAGTCTAAGCGGCACCACTTCTGATGCCGCAATCACACGCGCTGAATGTAGGAGCTGAATGTTGCTCGAATGTGGAAGTCATCGGCCCGATGTCAACGATTCTCAGCGACCATCGGATAATGTCGGATTTGTCTGAACTATTCGAATAGATTTGATACACATTTTGATGAAAATAACTCGAATTAGTGAAATTTCAGCTGTTGAGCACTGACTGTTGATTGCCATATCAGCTGCCAAATTCAGCGTGTGATTGCGGCAGTAGACTAAAGCGCCCGATACACCTACTTGCTAGACGCGCGTCTTGACAAGAAAAGTAGGATCTGATCCTACTTTGAGCGAGTTACGAGCGGCGAGTTGCACACGGAAAAAAAGTAAATGTTGATTTAGCATTTATATTGTAAAAACGTGTCCGACAAGTTTCAAATGCTGATTTTACATTTGGAGAAATGCTAACTTAACTACGCCCACTGTAAAACGAACAAATTCAAATGTTCTCTCAGCATTTTTGTATTGTAAAATCAGCATTTGAAACCTGACGGGCTTTTTTTTTTTTAACAATTTAAATGCTAAATCAGCATTCAATTTTTTCCGTGCAACCTGATTGGCTACGGAGATGGCCGAACACTGCCGAAGGCCTACTCGCCGCTCAAGACGCGCGTCTAGCTCGCAGGTGTATCCGGTAGATTAGAAGAGAAGTGTGGTTACCTGAGGAAAATCTCTCTCTCCAGACTGATGCTGGAAGTGGAGGAAGTAGGTGCGCCCCTTGCGGGCGGCGTGCAGGTAGCCGACGGTGATGAGCGGGGCGGCGGTGTGTCCGTCGCTGAGGACCTCGAGGGTGGAGTCGCGGTAGCTGAGCGGGCCCTGGACGGCGCACTCCCAGTTGGTGTACTCGTTCTTGAGCGTCGAGAAGATCTCGTTGAGGTGGAAGTAGTAAGAGTTCCGCACGAACGTCCGCAGGATCCGGTCCCGCCGCGTCTCGTTGAACCCGAACTCCAGGTCCTGCGCGTTCAGGTCCAGGTACGACTCCGTCGAGGTCAGCCCGAACAACAGGTCACGCTCGGGGAAGTCGCCCAGCTCGTTTCCAGGCACCTGAAACCCATCGTAATTTCAAATAAGTCGCCAAAAATTGGACGTATTTCTATCAAACGGAACTATGTGCATTATGACGTGAGCCCTGTTCTGCATATATTCTTATGGGTCTCGCGGCTCATGTCTCAATGCACACAGTTCCGTTTGGCAGAAATACGTCCAATTAAGAGGCCGATTAAGATAGAATGAGGAAGAAAGATAGTGTAGGTAATGAATAACTCAAGAGCAGCCTGATTTTTGAAATTGTGTGTTTGTTGGGTAGACATAGATGACATAGGTTAAAAGGCGGAGCGTGATTGGTCGGCTATGTCTTATCGACGCTTTGTCGTACCTATGTCGGGTGGAACTCATAACAAGCTAAAAGCACCTCTTAAGTTTCCTACAGTATCTGACACAGTTGATGTAGATAAAATGTTTATTTTTGAGGAAAATTCTGAATAGCTTCCCTTGTAATTTTCAGACGTTTTGGATCAAATTGAGGCAGTGGATGCGAAAAGGACACTTCTCGATTGCGGTGTTTCAGAATCTCTGTTGCTAATAAATCCCTCGGAGAAGCTTTCTCTGGGTGATTTTTCCAGAATTCTTTTCATAGAAATTTGTAGAAGCATGAGGTATATTCAGCAGAAATTTTAGTGAAATGGATGCATTCACTTTCCTTACAATGAATGAAATATTAGAGGAGACTCTGAAACACTGCAACCGAGACGTGCCCGTTTCGCACCCAGTGCCTCAATCACAAACAAAATTATCTGAGAAATTGGTAAATGAACATACAAAAGTTTTCCTGAAAATTAGTGATGTGCCAGAGGAAATTTGAAAACGCCTGAAGGCTTATACGGCGATTTTTCCTCAATCGCACGCCGCAGATCAGATCATCAGATCAGATTAATTGATCAGATTTGATCAGATTGATCAATTAGATTAGTCGCAATCACACGCTGAATGTGGGAGCTGAATGTGGAAGTCATCGGCCCGATGCCTGAATTTTGCGCGTAAAATTCAGCAACGATTCTCAGCAAACATCGGACTAATGTTGGATTTGTCTGAACTATTCGAGTAGATGTGGTACACATCTGGATGAAAATAACTCGAATTTGCGAAATTTTAGCCAATGACTGTTGAGTGTTGACTTCCACATTCAGCTGCTAAATTCAGCGTGCGATAGCGGCTTTAGCACGGCAGAACTGAGCAATTAGATTTTGAGAAAATTTGGTGGAACGGGCGTACCTCCTTGTTGCCGGTGAGGAGGCCGGCAGTGCTGTGGGAGACGGTGGCGGCGGTGGCGGCGGCGGCGAGGCGGTGGGAGAGGACGGCGCCGTCGACGAAGGGGGCGAAGCCGGGGAGGAAGCGCGGCTGGTTGAGTCGGACGTCGAGGAGGGCGGCCAGGGACTTGGAGCGGAGACAGGGCGCCAGGTCCTCCTCGGCGAGGTCCCCGTGGCAGCCCGTGTGGACGGCCACCGCCCGCTTGATCGCCAGAGGGTCCCGCTGCAGCGCCCACGGTGACAGACCCGACCCGCTCAGCAATATCACCCGGTGCAGCAGCTCTGAAATCATCCCACACAGAGTTTTCCTTCAGACTAATGCTAACCGGAAAAAGTTTATCAAGGCTCTTCAAAACAAAAACATAGAACCACAAACTGTGCGTATATCGACGGCGTAAGTCCGCAATTACATATCTGTCTGAAAATCTCCGCCTCCAGGTGGATGGTTTCTCGATAACTGGAATAGTTTTGTCGTAACAGACAACACATTTTTCGGTCACATTTTTAGTAGAAATGACACTCACTAGAACTTTTTCGCATTAATCTTCGGATGGTTACGTGTTGTAACGCTTTCCAATGATTTATTGCTCTATTTCTCAATTAATATTATGTCAATTCCGAAAATGTGCCGTCTGTTACGCGGTAAAAAGTCAGCGTAACAGACAGCACATTTTCGGTCATTTATAAATTAAAATTGGAAAGTAGAGAGATTATCATTACTACGTACTGAAAGAATGACCGAAAAACGTGTTGTCTGTTACGGCGACAAAACTGTTCTAGTTATCGTGAAACCACCCATGTAATTTTTTCCTTGGAGTTTATGCAGAATTTTCATCACACAGAGCAGAAAAATCATGGCAGTTTTGAAAGAATTATTGTCGTTGAGTAGTTTTTCGTTTCAAAAATAAAGAATGACAGGAAGTCTGCGACGTCGCAAACCAAGTTATGTGATTAGTATATGTGACCTAAACCGCCGAACACTAAGAAATGGTCCGAAATGTATGAAACAAGGTGATGATGGTGCTGGGTTTGTATCATTTTGCCGGGGAAAAAGCCAAAAAGTTCCAAAAAATTCGATCCGAGCAAAGAATTTCGAGCTCTAATGAGTAACAATACAAGACTGAGGGGGGGGGGTGTTCAGCTCAAGTGGCTTGCATTGGAATATAAAGTTGTATCGAGAAAAATTTTGCATAGCATCTACAGGAACGTCCAGAAAATATTTACTTCTTCGAATCGAAACATGTATCAATTCCCTTAATTTACTTTATTTTCACTTTTGTCGTTATAGTTATCTGAGAATGTCATTCCCTTCTTTACCCATTCCCCTGGTTTTGACAGAAGCCCATTGGAAAAGCGGGAATTCCGATTGTCCCGCGCTGGGGAATTCATCTCTGAGGATCGCTTAAAATCTTGAATGTCTCTATCTTTGAAGTGTGCATATTACAAAACGATTCACAATTTTTACTTTAAAACCCCGTCGATCGCTGAGTATTTCACATATTCATGCATTTGCGCATCAAAGCTTCAAACTTGCCTCAATAGGTCTTTTTCAACCGGTTTCAAAGGTGGCGCCTGATGAAAAGGTTCTTAAAGGCGTAATCTGTTCGATGACAGCGGACCGAAGCGCCTTCAATTTTGAGAGTATACTCTGCGCGCTCCGGCAAGTTCGAATAGTTGCTTGGAGCGCCGTGTCGCCTCGTTCTGTTTTCATTGTTAAAAAGAGCAGCCGCGGCCGCTTTCTCACTTTGGTTGGTCATTGACAACCGACACTCTTCCCGTCATCGATTGCTACGGATTCATTGGGATTTTATGGGATTTTACACCATATGTTGAGAGGGTCTCTTTGCAGTGAGAAACACACCTATTTGAATAGGGAAGAACTTCACATACATACATACATACATATAAGTCGCTTTACAGCACTCCCTCGCGCTCTACGACTCCTAACCTCCACTGCTCTCTTTCAAACCACAAATCTTGGGGGATTGAGCACCTTAACATTTCCGCTTCAATCCCTTCCCTCCAACCTTTCATTGGGCGCCCTCTGCGTCTTCTCCCAGGAGGAACCCAGTCAAGGACCTTCTTCGGCAACCTGTCTCCTGCCATTCTCTGGACATGACCATACCAGATGAGTTGTTTCGTCATAATGTCATGCACGATGGTCTGCTTGGCATCCATGATTTCCCGTACCGTCTCATTCCTGACGCGATCCTTTCTGGAAATACCAGCGGATCCACGCCAGAAGTCCATCTCCGTTGCCTCTAAAAAAAAAATTGACCCTCATGCGGTTGTAAATGTTCTGACAAATTTGTTCTAACTAGTTACAAGACCCCTTCGTCTGCTCGTGTCTTATTCAAGTTGTAGTCTATAAATTTGTGGCCTGCGTGTCTACCGCACATACTTAAGTGGGGACACTTGACAATTCTGAATCAACCTAAGGACTAAGGAAGCTCAGTAATTACCAGCAGTGAAAAATTACCCTGCGGCTGAGTTTGAAGGTTGCACGGGGAATCTGATGCTAAATCGTATCCGAGCGTAATAAATGTCAAAGCTTGTCGAGCAATAAAAACCCCTCTCCACTTTGACTCGACGGGAGGGAGGTTAGTTGAAGAGAAACATCCCGGAGCATATAGAGCAGAGCTCAAGTGGTTGCCAGTTGGGTGCAATTCACTATCATAAGGAGGCTTAGGACTCACTTGGGACTCATACTTTTCGCTGGGTAGGAATTCCGATGACAGTATCAATTCCGTGTTTTTCCAAGTTTCACGAATAAAAAGTTTCGTTTCCATCTTACTTTTTGGGCTGGAAAGTTTAATTCTATCCTTCGTAATATACTGTCGTGCTGAAAAGAGACACACGGCGTGGGAAGAAGAGATTTTCGGAGAAAAGAGATTTTTAACATTGGTACACTTGTACGCCGTTTCATGAACCAGCCTCACATTAATCCTCAATATTCTCATATTTACAAAAAAACTTTTCAACTCTTTTTATATTATTTTTCCGTAGTGCTTGTTTCTTTAAATACTAAAAAATAAATTTTGAAATCACACAACTCAAGTTAGTACCTATTTCTGCTGCATTCATGTAAACTGTGCTTTGCCCTATCGAAGCGAATACACGCCACACGTACATACAAAAAAACCTTGGGGCACATTTTTCCCCCCAACATTAAAATCACCTTTGGAGTATAAATTTTGTGACTTTATGAAATTTACCATCTGATCCTGTCATTTAATCCTTAGTTTTTGGACCATCTTATGCTCCGTGATTTTTAATCATACAGGAAATATATTGGTGCCGTCTATAGCGCTCAATACGCTTTAAGTAGTTTTACAGACAATTACACGGTGCGTTTGTTCTCGAGCGGTTATCAAATAAAAATTATTCAAATGTAATATTTAAGGAATGGTAAATTAACGCATGTTTATGGTAAAAAAACCGCAGCACCAATGCAGCTGTCACTTCTCGAATTTTTGGAGCTATTTGGTTGATTTATATATACTGAATAGTTCGTTAAACAACATCCGCCCGATTTGCCCTCCTCGAGTCAGTATGATAAATATTATTGAAAATATATAATTGCTGGCTATAATTTTACACAAATTTTGGATTTCCCATAAATCTATGAATTACGAATTGATCTTCAAATAATGGTGGAATTCATTTACTTTTTTCCATCCTTAATTTTCTGCTCTTGTTTCAAACGGAATAACAGATGAAAAAACTTCATTCTACTTTTCAATTTTTACATAAATCATTCTTTACTATATCTCCTGGTTGTAAAAAGTATTAATGTGTACTTTCTCGAAATCGATTGGGTAAATGTTTCACCATCACTGTGCAAGGTTTCAAAGAAATGCGACAGCAAATGATTTGAAGAGTATGAAGAAATGATTGGAAACCTGCTTGATACGCAGGACAAGTCACTGCGCCTTCATTTTATTGCATAAAATACACGGACGACTATAGGAAAAGAAATAGTTTCGCTGAAGCATTATAATCAAAGTCGCAGTTTCCATGAACTTTTTATGTCATTGAGAAATTTATGAGTAAACCACACGTGATGCAGGATTGGGATTTGACACAATACGAAGCAGCAAGAAACAAAAAGTCCTGTCCAAAGGCCAAGTTTATACGTCAAACATCATCTTAGATATTATCCTTCGAGGAAATGACTGTCTTGCGACTTTATCCTCCGTGGTGGTGCGTATTGGACCTAGGTTTCTCTCGTGAGCGGGACATTCAAATGTTTCGTAACGCCGACTCCGTTAGTTTAAATATTAGAGCCACACATATAGTGGAGCGGCGTGCTGCCAGTGCGGAAGGCTCACCGGTGCCTACAAACCTAAGGGGACACTTCAGGCATTGCGCAATGCTTGAAGTATCCCATTAGGTTTGTAGGCGTCAGTGCGCGTTTTGAGCTAGCAGCACGCAGCGCCGCGGCATACTGTAAACTTGCCCACAATTAATGGTTCAGGGCGTTTAAAAGTAGGCAATTTGACATCAAATTCGAAATCAATGACTCAAAAAACATCAGTTACAAAACTTTCGTGATCTTTCAGTCATTATCCGACTTATTTCCTCCCACACTGAAAAAAAGTTCTCGGCGTTTTTACCAAGGTCTGTTGGTACCTTTACCATCTCATTTTTTTACCAATTATTGGTACTTTTATCGAGACAGACTGGTAAGCCTACCTAAAAACCGGTATTTTTACTGTGTTTTTTAGGTAAGAAAACCACTTTTATTGGTAATCAATTCCCGGTAACTTTGCCATTATTGCGGCGTTGCAGAAAGTTCATTACCGAGATTTCTTGGTAAAATTACCAATTCCATAAATGGTAATTTTACCAAGAAAAAACTGGGATCAAATAGAACCCTGAATTCTTGGTAATTTTACCCTTTTCTTAGTAAATACACCGAGATTTTTTTTCAGTGCATTCTTGAGTTTTGGACCATAGTGCGCCGCGGGCGGCGGCGCTCATGAAATTCTCGCCTGTGCTCAATCGACACTAAATATCTTGGTTGGCAGTCCACCTTAGTCATTTTCGTTGCATGATTCGTGTTCTACATTAAATTATGGTCAAGAAACATGTATAAGAATGCTTAATTTCGTAGCTTGTCTAGTAATTGGCGGGTGCCGTGAAAACTCACCTTTGGCGACGGGAGAGACAGCGATGAAGTTGGCGAGGGCGGCTCCGGTGTCGTGGCCGAGGAGAACGATCCGGTTGGGGTCGCCGCCGAACGCGGGGAGGTTCTCCCTCAACCAATGCAGACCCGCGATCAAATCCAGGAGCCCGAAATTACCCTGAGCACTCCCTTTTGCTCCCGTTTTCAAAAAACCTGCAACAAATAAAACCCATCGCATCAAAATTTTGTCCAGTCAAATATACTGGCGCTTTTTCTCCCACCATCATATGTAACTCTTCGAGACTGCTGTGCTAAGGAAGAACACCGTATGAACCATCAGGCGTTGCCAAATTTCTTTCGAAAAATCATGAATTTTTAGGAAATTTTACAAATATTTCTCTCCCAATTTTTCAGAGGCTTCCGTTCGTAATTTGATCTAAAAAGGCTAAGGAAAAATATTCATACCTTTTTTTCCAAAATTACCATTTTCTGAGAGAAAATTTGGCAACTATCGAATGCTCACACGGCGTTTTTACTTAGCACGGCAGTAGAGGAGAAGGTTGGGTCAGCTCGATACTGGGTACACCCAGTTGTTAATTACATACACTCCAAGCTTAATCGCTTTTCATATTTTAAAGGACAATCGTTTCATAGCTGTACGGTGAACGCTTATTCTTTATCTTTATCACGAACTTATAAGTTCTTCGTTGAACCCTTTGAAGCCAAAGGCATATGCGATACGCGAAGTCCCCAGTTAGGTCAAATTGACCCGCTTTAGATTCATTGATTATAATGGTTTATGAAGTATTTTATATTTTATTTCTGTGTTTTTAAAGGTAAGGAATACTCTTTTTCTTTTAAAATTGTAAAATTTTCGGTGAAACAATGGCGCTCCCCCCCCCCTCCATATGTAACTCTTCTACACGAGAAGGTTGGGTAATTTGAACCGCCTTGGAATTTTTAGGGTTGGTCGTCAAATGTTCTTTTTTTTTCCCCAACATATTCACGTAAAATGAGGGCTATTGGAAAATAAAGGCTAAATATTTCATCCATGGAAATTACATGAACAGAAAGTCAAAACAAGTTGGTTTTTGCAATCGCTAGCGATAGCAATATTCGTCATGGGAACTTTTGCTTCTGGGATATGAAAATTTTAAGGTACAGTTCGTTTGTAGTATCTTCAGAATTGAAGGGGCTATGTAATTTTGTGTCGACATCTCTTTTTTAACATTTTTAATTTTTTTTCTTTGCATACAAGAAAGCTGTTATTTACCAATTATTTATTTTCGTTGGATTATGTATGGTTTTTGGAAGTTAACGCATTTAACTTTCAGTTTCGTTTTTTCGGCGTAAAGTATGATATTTTTACTCTACGCATATGCCCGAATACGCATCATAACGACGGTGAAACTACCAAACCACGTATCTCGTTTGCGGTGTTTAAAAATCTCCGCTCACATTTTATTTTTTTGGAGTAGACCAAATCAATATCATTCCTTGAAATTTTCACAGAATTTTCTCCGCACGAAGAGGAAAAATCACGGAAATTTTCAAGACTGGACGTTAAGTAGCTTTTCATTTAAAAAATAAAGTATGACAGGAAGTCTGCGACGTCGCAAACCGAGATACGTGGTTTGGTAGTTTCACCGTCGATAAGTGACCTATGTGCTTCCTAAGTTGCCATTTTTTTCATTCAAATAGATGTAACCGAAATGTTAGATGTGTACTACCTATACTACTTTCATGTCATTGCTTTATTTATTTATTTACTTTTTGCGTAGGTATAAATTGTTATTTTTTGCTGAATTTTGGAGAAAATATTGCTTTAAGAACGTGGAATGTAAATTAATTTTATTGAAAAAAGAAAATACCATCATTAATTTGGGCGAACAGAGAAAATATACATCAATATTTGGGTCAACATCTCCCTGATTATATGAAGGATGAATATATTAGTATTTCTGTATCAAAAAACTTAGCTTTTGTCTTCAGAGACACAATGATTCTAGTCCCAGTCAATTTGTTTTATTGAAAAAACAAAAAAACAAAAAATAAATAAAAAAAAAACAACTGAAATGTTAGACATACTATTTTCATGTCTTTCTATTTGTATCAATAGGTACTTTTTGCTTAACTTACGAACGTTGAATGCAAATTAACTTTATTGAAAAAAGAAAATAACGTCATTAATTTGGGGGAACATGTGGCTGATTATATGAAGAAGGTATATTCCAGTATTTTTGTTTAACATATTAACTCACGAGAAAATGTTCGTACATTTATCATCTACTATTAATTATTTTTTGATGATTAGTCTAAAACATTCAATACAACCATTAAAAAGTAGTTCCCACCGTCGGGTATCGAACTCCCGATCGCCGGGTGCCCGCACCTAATCAAAAATACGAGGCGGTTTAGTCAACTAGGTTATAACGGATCCACGGGGGCGAGAGTAAAAATAGCATTTAAAAGACTCGGGCAATGGGCGGGACTTATCACAAGAGACCTTGACTGCTTTTGAAATATGAAGCGCATATGAAGCGCAATGCTGTAGGAGCCATGGTTCTCACTGTTTTCATGTCTTTCAGGGTTCATCTCACCATGCATTCCGATCGCGGCAGTTGAGCTAAGGCAATATTTGCGTATCCATGAATTAAATCAATCAATCGAGCTCTGATTTTGACTTCTTTATCCGTAACGAGTCCTCCAGAACAATTTTCCACCTTGTACGATGGTTATTATTTCTTTACTTCTATTTTTCAAATTTGAGGTGGGATAATGGCGGCTTCTCAAGAACACCGAGGTAGGCGATCTTTTGCACCAACGAACAGAAAACTGATGGCGAAAAATAACCAATCAGAACCTCCCAAAAAAAAGAATTTGCCTAAAAACGGAACTTCGTGGTTCTGCGCAGATTTACCAGTCAGACACGACATCTCAAGGTGGAAAAAAACTCGCTGAAAGCGAATTTTAGCAATCAACACAACTTGACGTAGAGACATGATTGGCTAAAAAATACAACGGTTTTTGATACATCGGAAAATCAACCAAAAATCGGAGACTGGGCGAAACGCTCAAGGTCGCAGAGGTATAGGGAATCCAATAGCGAAAGCAACGGAACGATTCTAATATCATGGGGAACTCCGTTCCCATGACAATAATCCATTTCGAAATGCGGCTTTCAAAATCACAACTCACACGACTTCACGGAGGTGGAGTGCGGTATAGCAGGGGACACACCCATTAATACAAAATTTCATGAAAATGGACTAAATAAATTCCTCTAAAACTTCTGAAATGAACTCAGTGCGCCATGCAACACATAGATACTGAAAAACGTTTATTTTGAAAAATAAAAATATGACGAGTAAAAATTTGAAATTTCTTATCGACTTCTCGAATAATTGTTGCGGGTTGCTCACACAGCCCTTGTAAACTCGTTGAGATTTCACATTTGAGCAAAATTGGATTTCATTCCGTGAAATATTCTTTTGTATATCCCTGATCACGCCTCCCACTGCACGCCGCATCCACACTTTCCCGACTAACTCTCGAAATTCGTCGAATTTGCCCGGAAAATCCGAGAAATTCTTCCCGAACGACCAACGCCGCACAATGGATCGAGTCAAGGGGAGAAGTCAGACATTGCTTTTTTTCCTACAACTGAAAATTTTTATGTTTATTTGGTCAAATTTCAAATTTGTAGGGGTGCTTCCAGTAGAAAATTTTACGATAAAACCAATGGAACCACTCTTAAAACATCAACATTTCATATCGATGAAGATACACGCTTTTAAAGGTTTTAAATCATGGCCGACCTCTTCCAGTAACTGGATCCACTGTGCGCCGGTTTCACACCACCGACTATAATGAGCCTGTTGCGGGCATAAGTTCATTCCGCATTGTTGCCAAACTTACAAATGCCCCGTTGTAACGACGTTGGGCGTTCCGAACGACCCGTCGCTGCCGAAAGCGTAAACAAGTTGGAAGCAGTGAATTGATCGCAACTCAAACGTGTCAAAGCTCCGAACCCGTTCCCTGAACGGGTGACAATAGCCTCATAATTTACGCAGTTAGGATACGTTTTGACATCCTATTGCGTTGTGATCGCTCGCAAAACTGAGTGCGCTTCGATGTAGCTCTTCCGCGCGTTTGGAATTCTCGGGACCCGATCACGTGCGAGTTGCGTTTATGCAAAATGAAATTTCATTTTCTGTCAAATTCCAACGAGTTTTCAGGGGCTGCGTATCGCATCCCAACTGGACTATATTATGCAATGAGGAACTATACTACAGGGGAAAAAAAAATTGCTGAAGTAACATCCCGTATGTTAAAAATCTGCTCAACAACTCTCGAATGTTGTAATGGGCACTCTGGCCGTTGAAGTAACATCCTAACGACATTGAATTAACAACCGTAGTGTTCATGTCAACATTTTGACACGTATTTCTTGTCACGCAGATTTTTAACCTCAGGGATGTTATTCAGCAATATTTTCCCGTGTATGTCTAGTTCGTGAAATTACGGATCTGCGGGCTGATTGTTTAAATTGAAAGACGTAGCTATAGACAAAAAAGACAAAAGAGATATGGAAGGAGCCTAAGAGTGTGTGCGGTGGGTTGCAATGGAGGTAGGAGGTAGGTAATAGACTAACTAACGGCAAGCCAAGGGAGACCATAATTGTAGTTAGTCTATAAAAACCACCCATTTCAACCAATAGTATTGCTCCATACTTCCTATGTCTTCTCTTTTTATCGCTTTTTCCATGTATTTCAAGAATCAGCTCGCTGCACCAGAAAACTAGTAGTTTCTATGAAGATCCCGAGTAAGTGGTTTCCTGGGCGGAAAACTTGAGTGGACCCTTCCACTAGCAACAGACAGTCTAGCAATAAGTGGCGATGGCGAATAAATTGTACCTCCACAACCTCCGCACCAGCCAAATCAGCTCAGCTGTATGAATGTTTACTTCAAGCGACATAAAACTTTGTTCAGGGTAGCTAGATGCATCGTCACCGAATGACGGCTTCACATGGGCGCACCTTTTCTAAACGGAACCAGAGGACAGGACAGGAGACAGGTGTGAAAGAAGGGGTGTGCTTGTTATTCGAGAGCCGTAAGAATGAATGGGAATTATAAAGCGCCAGTGACGTCAGAGCCGACGCTCGATGATCCGGCAAAGCATGTTGCCGGGTCTGCCGAAAATTGCCCTGTCC